ATGATCAGGTGCTAATTAATATTGATTATTGTTATAGACTGTCATGTGGAGTACCACAATCTTTCAGGGAAGCGGTGACTTCACCAGAATCAAACTGCTGGATCAGAGCCATGGACGAGGAGATTCTATCATTGAGGGAGAATAACACATTCACCCTGACCAACTTACCCAGAGGCAAGTGTGCAGTGGGGGGAAAGTGGGTGTACGCCATTAAGAGGAACGAAGATGGTACGGACAAGTACAAGGCACGTTATGTTGCAAAAGGTTATAGTCAAAGGCGTGGAGTGGATTACGAAGAAACGTTCTCTCCAACTGCAAATATGACCAGCGTGAGAGTTTTAATGCAGAAAGCTGCCCAAGAAAACTTACTTTTGCATCAAATGGACGTTAAAACCGCCTACCTACATGCACCCATAGATTGTGAACTCTATCTTGAGCAGCCAGAGGGATATGAGATCAAATCAACATCAGATGAACAGTTGGTGTGCAAATTAGACAAATCAATTTACGGACTGAAACAATCCGGCCGTAATTGGAATCACATGTTGCATTCATATTTGATTGATAATAACTTTGCCCAAAATGAGTCTGATCATTGTGTTTATACAAGAAAAACAGTAAAAGAAGAAGTCATAATAATAATTTGGGTCGATGACTTAATTTTGGCTACAAGTGATGAAAAGGCAATGAAAACTGTTAAGGAAATGCTTTCAGCCAAGTTCAATATGAAAGATTTGGGCAAACTCAAATATTTCTTGGGTATTGATTTTGAACAATCAAATGAGTGCATAAGGATGTCTCAAAGACAATATGTGGAAAAGTTATTAGTCAGGTTTAACATGCAAGACTGTAAACCTCGTACAACACCATGTGAACAGAAACTCAACTATTCTGTTGATGCTAATGTTTTAAGTGATGTTAAAAAGTACAGAGAGGCAGTAGGGAGCCTGATTTACCTTGCCACATGTACAAGACCAGATCTAAGCTTTGTTGTAAGCAGGTTATCTCAATACTTTACAAACCCCACAGAGGAGCAATGGGTGACCGCTAAACATGTACTTAGATATTTGAAAGAGACAATGGACAAGGAGCTCTGTTACAGTAAAAATGATAATGACAATGACCATATGTGTATATGTGCCTACAGTGATGCAGACTGGGCAGCAGATTCCTTTGATAGACGCAGCACTACAGGTTACTGTATATGTCTTAAAGAAAAGGGGCCTGTTATTTCATGGAAATCCAAAAAGCAGCCGACTGTGGCATTATCTACTTGTGAAGCAGAGTATATGGCATTAGCAGCAACTGTCCAGGAATGTTTGCACCTGACTCACCTACTGGAAGGTTTTGGTATGTCCATAGATATACCACCAAAAATCTTTGAGGACAATCAAGGAGCTATTGCTTTAGCTAGAAACCCAGTGAGCAGGCAAAGGTGCAAACACGTTGACATAAAATATCATTTTGTAAGATCAACTGTAAATGAAGGTAAAGTGACGTTACACTATTGTCCTACAGAGGAGATGTTGGCAGATGTGATGACAAAACCAGCATCACAGCACAAGCTATTTAAGTTCTCTAACATTTTGTTTGGTTAAAAGTGTGGACAGTGTGTATTTTTGTTTCCGTATTTCCTGTTGTGAAGGAAGCTAACACATTTGAGAGCAAGTGGGGGTGTTAATTGTATTGTATTTTCTGTTATGCTCTGAATGCATTATTTGTTTATTGATTGATGACGTCACGGCCGGACCTTATTTAACCCCGCCCTAAATAAACCATGGCACCTTGCTTGTGTGAAATGAATCTGTGTGGACTGCTCGTCTTTTTCTCGCACAGTGCTAAAGGAGGCTCACACTGGGCTGCTGCGTAGCGAATTCTGACAACACTAACGTTACTAATCCCTTTTGTACAGCTCTGTGTGCAGTAGCTTTTGTCTTGCCTACATAACCTACATTAACTTGATTGAGTCGAGTTGTGCAGTCAAACTGTGTCAAAGTGTGTAAAACAGGGGTTTCTGATCAGAATTCAGGTGTGTGTCTGTTATTGGAATGTTAGCGCGAGTGAGAATCTTTTGAGTTTCGGGGAAAAGCGACGTTCCTCCCGTGCTTCAGTGACGGAGGATCGACATGAAGATCCTGAACCTCCTGCTGATCTATCACCAACACACTACACTAGTATTTGGAATTCTGCAAATACCACAAAAGGCATTTCCTCATTTCTCATCTACAGTCTCACTTCTGACCCATATTCAGTGTGACATCCCCTTTCACCACTAGACTCTTTAAACACATCGGTTTCTTTCTATGTTCATGCATGTGTGTGTGTCTGTGTGTCTGTGTGTGTGTGTGTCTGGCAATATTTTTGCGTGTGAATTCTGTAAAATTCACCGAACAAACTGGAAACACTGAAGAGACCGTTGTTACAGTTGTTTATCTCAGTCACATTACTCTATAGTTATTACTATTAACATGTTATTGCAGAATTGAGGACAAGAAGAGCTACCGGACCGTTGCAGTCTCTGTGTTTCGTTTGTTTCAGTCTAAAACACATAATTATAACTTGTTATTTTAAAAAATTCTCAGTTTAGGTTCAGTCCAAACTCACAGGAACTGAACTAGTTTTGTTCAGAAAAAGCCAACAGGAAATAATCCAGGGTTAAATTAAACTCAGTTACCACACTGATGTACTGTCTTCAACCTATTAGAAATCCGTTGTTGCATCAGAAAGATCCCTGTGAGTCACTTTTCGAGGCTTTGGGCTGAGAACTGATTTGCTGAGGGGGGGGTGGTCTTCTCTGATCTAAAGATGTGAAAAACATAGAAAAAAAACAATAGAGAAAACTGTTTTCAGAGTGAGAGACCAGGAGTTTATATTGTATTTATATGAAATTGCTCCATGTCCAGATTGTATGATAAGACATCTGCAGATGACATTAACAGCCCAAAATCATGTAGCGATAAGCAGGAACAGGAAGCCAGGATATTTTCTCTCTCAGACTCAGACTTACAACAGAACTTTGAATTTAAAACTCTGTAATTCCTGTTAATCTCTCAAAGTCTGAAGCCGAATAGAGTTGGTCCCAGATCCCAGTCGCCCACAAAAGCACATCCTCGCAGCTTTCCCAGTGGCCGCGCGAACATTCCTGGCATACTTGTGCAAAGGATCATGGGAGTTGGAGTTTTCCAGGGGCTGTCAAACAGGCATTAACTGTGTCAAAGAGTCGCACAAACTGTTACAGAACAGACAGAAGATTCTCAAAGTGCTCGTTCTGAGACAGTGAAACTTCAGCTGTTTATAGCTTTGATGCTTTAGTTTACATGTGTTTTGTTCGTACAGGCAGCAACTGGATTATTACTTTTAAGTTTTACATTTTATAACTGGAAAATCACTGCAAAAGAAACCATCAAAGAAAAGTGAATAAGTTCTTTTGATTGTGTTAAAATGTTGCAAATGTAACAAGCATAAAAGCTCCTATAACTTAGACTGAAACAAGCAACTTCTCACAGGGAATGGGGAGATAATGGTACTCTTTATTTAAAGCTGGGGTTCAAACTTTTACAAATAATAGATTATGTTTGTGCCAAAGAGTCCTGTAAACCACAAAATGGATCTTTGACTCATTATAAAACATATTCACTGTGTATTTGTAAGATAGAGTCTTAGGAGTCACTATGTGCCTCTTTGGGTTGAGAGCTGATTGGCTGAGTGAGGCTGGTCCTCTCTTTGATCTAAAAAAGTGACATCACAAATACATGATGTGAAACTAGTGACAGAAGCAATTGTTGTAGAGCCAGAAGATGTCACTAGGTACTACCCTCCTGTGGACTCACCACCTGCTGCGGCTGGTGCTCTGTGAATCCGAGGGCAGCTGATTGCAGAAGATGGATACTAGGCCACAACGGTCACTACTACAGTCAGAAACAAGGAGACCACAGACACATGTTTGTGCAGCATGTATGCAGCTGTAGTAAGACACACAACGCTAACAGAGAACAGCTGTGAATGCTTTTCAAATATAAACGCACATCTATCTAAATATATATATAATGTAAGTTTGATCGTAGCTGCCGCAAACATCAGTATTTTGTTCAGATTTATGCAGCATCTATTGGTGGTTATTATTGATTCTATCATAGTCCTATCTTCCTTCAAACAGAAGAAATCATAACATCATCAGGATCCTTTGTGTTGTCTTTGTGAGAAACAGAAAAAAAAGGTGACGAACTGAGCAGTAAGTATCTGTGTCATCTTTATCTGTGGCTCTTCACAGAAAGTCACTTTGACTGTTTGTAGAATTCTAAATAAAAAGGAGATGGGAGAAGCTTTAAACTTGCTTTATTTCAGTGTTCAAAGTTGTATTAACTTCAAGACTTAAACTTTCTGAAGAGAAATGTTCAGGAACATTGTGGAGATCTGCCTTTTTCTGTTTCTACACAGAGGGTAAAAAGTATTCAAACAAATGATCAAACAACTTGTTGATTGACTATTTACTTTCTACACTATTTTTCATTTTACTCAACTCTACGTTTTTAACTGTACAAAAGGAGAAGTTGGAGGCTGCTCCGTGTGTGACCGGGGCCCACATCCCGTGCGTCCGTGGGAACCGCGTCCAGAGGCGGAGGACCATCAGCTGATCTGCTCCAGCAACACTTTAACATTCTGAAACAAAGCCCAGGAGACTACTGCAGCCTCCCTATACAATACACACACACAAACACACGTACACATGCATGCACACACGCACACGCACACACACACACACACACTCGTGCCAATGTGACCAAAACATTCCATCCACTCATATGCGTCCCTTGCATCTGAAAAAGTTTTACTTGCTTAAACTTCTGACAACAGCGCGTGTGCCTGTTTGCTTTGAACCTATAATTCTACAAAGTTGACACACACAATGTAGTAACTTTGACAATCTTTCCCCACACGTCAGCGCGTCCCCTGCATCTGCAAATGTTGAACTTCTGACAGCGGCGGCCTGCAGCGCATACCTGTCTCTGGGGTCGATCCACGACGTCTGCCGTGTGTTGTGGTCGATGAAGAACACTCTGCCGTCGTAGTCCCGCGCCTCCTCCCAACCGGCGGGCAGCGGCAGCTCAGAGCTTTCTCTCCGCTTGGCGTCGCTCAGCCACGGCATAGCGTCCGGATGGTGAGCCCCTTCCCCTGCGCTTTATCCCCCGTGGCTCCTCTTCACCGCATTACCGCAGCAACAGCGCGCTCCCGTGTCGCTCCCGTCCGGACAGAGGTTCCAGGTCCCGTGCGTAAAGTTCCCGCTGGAGTCGGAGCGCGGCGGAGATACATCCAAACTTTGTTGTTTGTCTGGAAGCGCCTCACGGTCCGCGGTCGTCCATGTTCGCCTCCTCCATAGTTCAGAGCTCCGTGTCCATATTCGGCGGTGGGGGATTTGCATAGAGAGACGCACGTCAGAGGAGCGCACAGGCGGCCAATAGGGAGGCCCCTGAACGCCGCGCGACGATTGAAACAGAATTATGCAGATACTAAAATTATACTCATTTGTTTTTGGTGAAGATGGCACACGCCAGGCCGCAACACGCGAGGCACGAATGAAAAAAAACATCTAAGGAAATAAATAAGTTAAAGAAACAACTGTATTTATGACTACATCTATCGAACCGTATCTACTTAAATGTCTCCATTAATGTTGTAACAATTTTTTGAACATTTCTAAATTTATTTTATTGATTTAAACTTTTGCCAAAATGTGTGAAGAAATGTAGCCCTCATGATGTGAGATGCATCAACTCCATCTAGTGTCCGACTGTCAACAGTAGTCTGTGTTTAAGGAGGAACCTCAATTCAATTTATTTGTGTATCGCCACAAATCCCAACTGCAAAGTTGTCGATTCCTCAACAACAGATCAGAGAATCAAACAGTTCAAACACAGGAAATGCAACAATAACAAACACATAGAGCCATTGGTCCATAAGAAGGGGGACTGAGGCCGCAGACCAAGGACTGATCTTTCGATCTTTAGCATAATACATCCTGTGAGTCTGACGCGTTGGGCAGAGAGCTCTGTCTGAAAAGGTTGATCTAAAGATGTGGCAGAGGCCTAGGTACAGTCAGTCGTTTTACTTACACAGATATCAGTACTTTACTCTTAAATTTTGGAAAATGTTAGTTACAGATAACAACATTTAAACATGAGAAAGTATGGTTAGACACGCCTCCATTTTCACCAGATTTTGGTTACCACCTCTGCTTATAGCCTGAGTAAAGGAATGACATCCGTACTTTATCTTCTAGATTTTAAGTCAAATATTTGTACTTTTACTTAAGTTCTAAAAGTCAGTACTTTCCCCACCTCATCTTCAAGGTGCTTCTGCAGTAGTTCTCCTCGTATGCGGTGGCGCCCCCTGCTGGACGTGTGGCCGCAGTCCGCTGAACCCTGTGGAGGAGGAGGATGATGTTTATCAGCGCATTTTTGTGTTTGTGACGCGCCAAACTCTCCGTGCGCGAAAACGACGCGGATAAATATTTTCATATCTCTAGAGCTTTGATCTGCGTCCGCCCACACACGGTTCCCACAGACGCGCACAAAGACGCGCTGTTCTCTCTCTCTCAGTCACATGAAGCGAAGAGGAAGTGGAAAAGATTCAAAACCAAAGAATAATTTCAGATTATCAGACGTCTGATCAGTAAACTGTGCTTTTCTCGGTTACATGGCTCATAAATTAACATCATAATGATACATAGTTAAGTATGCAGTGGCTGAGTAGTTAGCACTCTCGCTTCAAATCCCGGTGGGAACAGGGCCTTTCTAAGTGGAGTATGCATGTTCTCAACATGTCTGCATTGGGGTCCTTCAGGTGCTCCGGTATCCCCGAAGCAGTGGAGCTTCAACCCGACAGAGGCCCTGTTTCCTCACAGTTACAATAAAGCAACTTCACTTAACGACACATTTTGATTTATTTGTTAATATTTGGGAGTTAAAACACATAGAGTCTATGGAGAGAAACAGTTACATTTTAAAATGCTAATGTGATTATCTCAGTGTTTTTTGTTTTTCTTTGATCACTTTTGACACTAAGGTCCGTTGTATGGTTTATTTTAAAGGACACATACTATATAACATTTGCTTTTTGAGCATTTAGACATAATAATAATGCATCGTTTTTATGCAGCGCTTTTTTGGATAAACTACGACTGTAGCCACAGCTGCCCTGGGGGACACTGACCGAAGCAAGAAAACCTGTATGTCATCGGCCTGTGTCTTGCATAATAACACAACCACAGTTTGGCACAGCCGCAGCCGCCCCACTTTGGCAGCATGTAGTTGTCTCAGTCCTGTATGACATCATTGCCCCTAAATTATTTGGAATGTTTCAGGTACAATCACATGGCAGTGGTTGCGGCTGGTCATTTTTTATTTTAGAAAACTACTGAAGGTATTATTTCAAATCCTAAAACATGAAAGGACAAAATAAATATTCTCCTTATTAGAGTGGACAAACATTATTTTTCTTTAAACATTGTTTGGGAGGATATTGCACTTATCGTCCTAGACCTGTGTTTGTTGTGTGATTTTTATTTGTTATGAAAAGAAATGTAATATTTATATTTGTAATACCAGTGGGGCTGGGCTCTGGGTGGAGTGAGCCTGTTCCTCTGGGTTCGTCCGGATTGTCATCACAACAGTCTTTATGGATTTTTTAGAGTTTTGTACAGAAAGAGCCTGGAGTCATTATTCAAATCTTCAACATGATCTGGTCTTCTCTTTTTTCACTTTTCTGTCTGAGCTGTTGTAGAGATGTGACAGAGGCCAAACATGACCTGTGCACAGCATAGAACCAAACTGTTTAGAGAATGAGGAATTTTCTAATATACAGTACCCCAGCTGGAAGACTAAACTAAACAAAAAAGTAAGTAACATATTTTGACGTATATTCAGTATCTACCTACCTACCTATACCTATCAATCTACTGAATCTCACTTTATCTGCCTGAAAGTTGAATGTGAGCAACTCCGAATCGTCAGATCTTTTGTAGAACTTCATTGACGCAAAATGCATCGTTTTGTCTCAATAACACAAACAGAAAAGTGAGTCTCGTGTCTGCATTGAGTGACGTTGGCCGAACTGCTCCAGCTCGTGGGAAAAGCATCTGACATAGATCTTGTCTCTGGGTCGTGTCTGCCCTGCCCCTGCTGCCCATTGTTGGCAGGAGGACCTCTGGAGGGGGCTGGCTCCTCTCCTCCCTGCAGAAGATGAGTGCCTCTGAGTGTTTCAGCTCGTGACGCTTGAGTTCAGACTGAGTGTGCAGGTATCGCAGCAGCAGCAGCGTCTTGTTTTCCGGCTGCTCCCTCTGCCTCAGAATGGACACTTGTACCTGTGCTATGGAGCTCCTGGGGATGCTGCTGTTTGTGAGCGCGTGGCTGTGCACTCTGACCACCACCATCCTGCCTCAGTGGCTGACCATGTCCACAGCTCTTCTCCCTGTGGAAAGCTACGACCTGGGTCTGTGGGAGACCTGTGTGGTGCAGGACGTGGGGGGCATGGAGTGCAGAGCGTACGACAGCCTGTTGGGACTCTCTCGGGATCTGAAGATGGCTCGAATGTTCATGTGTGCTTCGCTCGGGGCTGGTCTGCTTGGAATTCTGCTGACGATACCTGGGCTTTATGTCATCAACACCTGCAGAGATGAGGAAGGGGTGAGGACCAAGCGGGTGCTGACTGTGGTGGGGGGGCTGCTGGGGGTCGCAGCTGGCGTGTTGTGCCTGATCCCCGTCTGCTACATGGCTCACTTGGCTGTCGTGCACTTCTTTGACGACACGTTGCCAGATGTGGTGCCGCGCTGGGAGTTCGGAGAGGCCCTGTACTGTGGCTGGGTGGGGGGCTTCCTGCTGGTGGTGTCGGGGCTCGTGCTGATCTTCTCTGGGTCGTGTTCCGCAGAGGATCCTCAGCAGCAGAGCTATCACTTTGCGGACGTTACCTACAAGAAAAGACAGGAGTATGTTTGATGAAGTGAAAAACACTGTTTCAGACAATCACCAGCTGTTCCAGAGGCACATACTTTGGATTCACAGCAGCGGTGGAAAAAGTACTAAGTACTTTGTAGCTACAAAAGGTGGGACTGTCTCAGAAACTCTTTGGTTCATAGTAATAGTGTCATATGTGCTTCTTGGGCCTGTAGTCTAAGAAGATCTTTTCACAACAGTATAGTGGAGAATGACGACCCCCCGATCCAACCAGCGCTCAGTGTCTCTAAGGTCATTGTGACTTTTCCAAAACAGTTCTGTTCTCTTTCTATCAGGAAAAACTAAATGCACCATTTGGGTGAAAAAGTTAGATAGCACACTATTAGTCAGCTACTTAAGTTGAATATCATTTTTAAAATAATGTGATGTATTCTCCTTTCTATGGGACACTTATTTTGTACATCAGTTTTCACAGTAATATATTGAAATAATCCCACCTTTGAGCATAACTATGACCAGTAAGATATGGAGGAGAATTATTGATAAATAATGAGGGGGCTTCAAGGATTTGAATAATTTTGTTCCAATCAGGAAGCTACGAGGGGAGCGTGGGCGGGGCTAACCTGTGGACCGCACTCTGTGTACTGGACAAAGAGTGAGATGTAAAATGTGATGATCTTTGTACTTTCCACCACTGCTCACAGAAACTGTTTTACGAATGTTATTTTTTTTTTTACACTTTTAGAAGTGATATTTTAGATCTGGAACATCTCACGTCTTCATGTGGAAATTCGCACTATCAGCAAATACTGTAAAACAATATTTTCACTTTTATGGTTTGAGAAGAAGACGCCGCTGTGCATCATCCACTGTATCCTTCTGTTAGCTTTATGTATATAGCATTTAAGCTAATGTTATTTGTTACGCTGTGATTATAGATTATTTTAATTGAATTAAATCTATGTTTTGTCTGTGAACTTGAGTTGACATAAAATGGAAAAGAAAAGAATGTGTGTAGTTATTTTTCCAAAACGTTCACAAAAGGTCTAAAATAACATTGAGCCTGAACTTCTTGTGATATCAGTGGTCTGTGTCCACACATCGGCCCCCAGGGGCGGAGTCACAGATCCCAAGACCTCAGGTGGAAGTCAGGAGGCCTTCAGTGTTATTGTTCGACAGAAAAAATATGTCCAGATATTATTTGTGGATGCGTAAAAGCTGAATATTCCTTTCACATTCCACTCTAATGAAATCTGGAAACAAAACAAGAGTATTCTTAAACCTTTATTCAAGAATTTGAAACCTCAAATCAACATAACAAATACTATTATATGAATTACTATTGAAAAACAGCATCAGGTGAAGACACTGAGGTGACTGCAGATTTATATCAATTAGAAATGGGCCGAAGTTGAGCCTAGTGGAACCCCTGCCCTTAGCCTGAGCCTCTCCTTCCCTACATGCCATCTCACCACTCACCAAACCTTTTAATAATACCTTTGTGTATCATAAATGTATCCTCTATATTTTGATAAAGTGCATTTTGATTTGTTACATTGGTTTGAAAGTTAGGCACCACAATCAAATAGAATAATGACTAAACAATTACTGTATTATGATAAGGAATATTGCTGCTAAAGGTGCTGCAGGTTAATGGGGCCCCCAGCTGCCTCCTGTACCTGCCCTCCCAGTGCCGCCACTGTGTGTTCCTGGGGAGACTGCGGTGATGGAAACTTTGAGCATAATTCCTGCAGATTTGCCGGTTTCTCGCTGAGATAATCTGTGTTTAATGAACGCTTTCATCGGCACAAGTTCCAGAGGAATGTGGAACACTCTGCACCTCCCCCTGCCGGACAGCATCATCTGAGGACCAGAGGTCGCTCTGTCCTCCCCCCTTTCTCCCTTCCTCCTCCGTCTTGCCCTCCTCCTTCACTGTCAGCACCGGGTCTTCACTGTCAGCACCGGGTCTTCACTGTCAGCACCGGGTCTTCACTGTCAGCACCCGGTCTTCACGGTGAGGAGTCCAACACCTGCATGTGTTCATCCAGATGTTATTGATCCTATAATCACAGTTTTCCACTGAAGTCTGTATGTCTCATTTGAACCAATGATGTTCTGAAGGAACAGTTGAGAACATTTGGACAAAAAGTGTAAATGAAGTCAAGATTAAATGTTGGGTGTGATCTGTCTGCATGCAGCATGTTTTTAAAACAAAACAAAAGAATTAGACTGAAATAAACAGAGGTCTGTGCTCTACGAGTGCTTTAATAACAGTCATAGCAGCTTCAGCGACAGACTGATTCACCCTCACTGTGTTTGGCAGGTGTCTTTCCTTATATGATATTTTACATATGTATGTATTTTATAAAAAACATTTTTACATATTGATATATACTTGCTTCTATTTTTGGGAGCATTTACAGCGACTTGTCTCTGTCTGTTTTGTGCTTTTACTGCTGTCCTATGTGCGCTGCAACACTGAAATCTCCTCACTGTTGAACGAACATAGGTTCTCTGATATAACACTTTACTTTACTACACTTTATTTAATCAGTCATTTGCGCCTTGCCTTAGCAACCGCCTTAGCAACAACTCTGCCCCGTTACACAGTCTGGACAAATGCCCTTATAAGGAAGTTGGCTTCAGCTTCTATTTTCAGATCAGAAATATGTTTTCTCCTGCAGATGAAGCAGTGACTTTCCTGCATGATATACAGTGTATTTGGTAAATAAGTGACTTTGAAAACGTACGATTGTGATAGTATCAGTACAAGTATCAGCTCTAACTGATAGAGCGGACGATGACACAGATTAGATAAAGAAGAACCACATGAGTCTTATCTCTGAACACGAGGCCAGAGCTGCTCCAGGATCTGAGCTCATTCTGTTTTTTAACACAATCTGCAGAATATTCACTCTTCATGTTTTTGATTCTGATGAAGTCCTACAGGTGCATTCCTCAGCCTGCTCTGTGCTTCAAGAACTGATGCATTGAATACTTTGTTTTAAAAGGCAGGAATCAGCTTTGACAATGATGTCACTTCTTTAGATTTGTGTTTTCAGACTCGAAAGTGAAAAGGAGAGGGCTCTTTCTTAGTTCTGATATGAGTGCATGTTTTATAAGACTCAGGAAAACCAAACCCATCACATCTGTGTGTGTGTATGTGATTCTGTCAGTCTGCCCCAGGGCAGCTGTGGCCACCGCAGTAGTTCACCACCGTGTGTATGAACAAGTCCAGGTGAAGCCCCACTGTGACAGCTCCCATCACAGTACTAACCAGGCCCAGCCCTGCTTAGCTTATGGACATGATCTGGCGTTCACCTGCAGGTGGTGCCACATTAGGAGGAGCAGGCAAAGGAGTAGAAGCAGGAGCTGGAGAAGGAGCAAGAGCAGGAGCTGGAGAAGGAGCAAGAGCAGGAGCAGGAGCAGGAGCAGGAGCAGGAGCAGGAGCAGGAGCAGGAGCAGGAGCAGGAGCTGGAGCTGTTGTGGTGTGAACAGGGCCTTTTGTTCCAGAGCCGCTGGACGCCTCCGGAGCGGTGCACATGCCTGCTCTCGTCAGCCTCCCACTGGGTCACATGAGCAACACCCTCCCCTCCCTCCCCTCCCTCCCCTTCCTCCCCTCCCTCCCCTTCCTCCTCCTCTCCGTCCCTCCCCTCCCTCCCCTCCCTCCCCTTCCTCCCCTCCCTCCCCTTCCTCCTCCTCTCCGTCCCTCCCCTCCCTCCCCTGATCGGCAGAGTGGGTCTAAAGTGTCTTGGATAACACGCAGCAGATAAACTTTGTGGTGACACTTGCACACACCCAGATTTAATTCTGTCATGATCAGGGAGTTCACGGTGTCCACACAGACGGCTGCAGACACACAACTCACACAACAACAAAACCACAAATATTCAGTTTACAGTGATATGTATGTTATATTGTTTACATTTGTGCACAGTTCGACCATAATGCTATTTGTTATGGTATGTTAAGCATGCAGTAAATATGTGAAATACGTACACACACACAAATGTGTTTGAGCATTTTCAGGTAGTGTCTCCAAGATCTGACTTTTTTGCTTTGGAAAACACAAAGAGAGTAAACTGTCACAATGAAAACATGACAAAGCCATTTGACTGTGTGTCTGGATTTTGATGACAAAGACAGTTTCATTGACATGAAGACTTGCTTTGGAGGAATTAACTATTAATTTTGAGCAAGTGACGCACTTTTGCAGGTTATCCACGGGGTTTTTGAGAGCTCTCTTTGCTGAGAATGTTGATTTTACCAAATCTTCTAAAATCAAGGAAATATTGTAACTGGAATGGAGTCATGTTCACTGTTTTGCATCAAGTGGATAGCAGCTTCCACACGGCAAAAATCTTCTCATCCTGTTGACCCGTCAAAAATACTCAAATCAAGAAGAAAGAAAAGGTTAATTCAAGCATTTATTACCTTTTTTGTAGAGAGCTGGATTGCCTTCACTGTGCCTTTAAAAACTAAATATCCAGATTTTTCAATATTTGATGATTGAAGTTAGGCCGATGGGACATGTACAGCTAATGTATATCTATGGTCTAATGTAACTCTTATGGGGCGTTCAGACCGGATCATGTGTACTTTCAATGTAAAGTCAATAGTGACGTTCGTTCGAGCGTGAAATTGCATGTGTGTCTCGGAACGTACGCACGGACTGGGGGCAGAGGCGCAAGAGCGGAAAATTGACGCACGCAGGAGATAAACTTGTTTACTGTTTTCCTTGAGACGCACTAGCAGCGACCAATCAGAGAGCCGCAAAGTGGTCACGGGGACAATAACGGTCTGAGTGAGCAGACTGAAAATACTCGTAAACAGCCAAAACACGAGAAAAACAAGGACTAAACCAGGACAACACCCAGACTAACAATGGGGGACACAGTGCTTGTGAACATATGCCTCCAGCCTGAGTTCCCATTCTCCAGTAAACTAGCGCAGCTAGCATTTTCACCGATGCTGAAGTACCGTTTAATAATAAAATAAACTTATGGCGCACCACCGTGAACACATATTGCTGTTATATAAAGTCTCTGGACACAGAGACGCTGCAGAGCTGCATTATTGGAGGAGAAGAACTTTACACAAAAAGTCGCTAGCTTAACTCCGTTAGCTTCAAAGTCCCCCCACTACTTCCGGCGTGCGTGTTTTCCCACCGCAGGCCAGGAGTTCAGGTTTTCTAAACTCAAGCGTCTGAAATTTAGAGAATGTGCGTCCAGTGTGCGTAGAAGCTGCGTTCAAGCATCGGCGGTCTGAACGCCCCATGAGAGTCCATGGTCACAGCTGTCATCCACACAGTCTCCCATGAACCAGAGCCTGAACCTGGACGTACAGTAAATACAGTGAGTCGGACATTAGTGTCTGATCCTTTGTGCATCACAGAAACATTTGAAGATTATGTCAAAGATCACGTTTGTCAACATATATATGATAAATATTATATATGATCTTAGTCCTCTTGGTTTCACTCCCACTTAAGAAATTCCAACAATGAGTCTATTTTCCTTTTAGAGGTTTTCATCATGACACTTCTTCAAAATGAAAGGATGGATTATCTCGACCCTTGTTTCCAGTAGAACTCGATACGTGGTCTTTGGGGACCTCCGTTTTCAGCTCTCTCCAGGCGTAACGATAGGACAAGAAAACCAGACCACTCAGAAGCATCACCGAGGAGGCAAACAGCCCTACGCCGATGGCGCTGCCGACTCTCTGTCGCACCGGAGCGGCGGGAAAGTGGAACTGTGGAGGAAAGTCTATGGTGCGATTGTTCAGGACTGAGTTCAGGTTCAAGACGAGCGGCAGCAGAGAACAGCAGCTGCTGAACACGTACGTGGTCCCAGCGAGAAGGAAGAGCAGCCGGATCCTGCTGCGGTTCTCCACGGAGAAGTAAGCCATCCTCATGGCGAAGGCGGCCGTCACGTTCCCGGCTAATCCCGCCATCACCGCCAGCATCATCAACACCTGCGCCGCTCTGATCTCTGCTGGGAGAAAAGCTTCACTGATGTCCAGATACTGACAGAACTCGCTGTCGGAGAGAACGTGGCTGTAGAAGCAGGCGCGCCAGATGCCCACCCACGCCACGCCCGAGTCCACGACCGCCGTGTCACTAACGAACCACACACGCCACTCGTTGAGTCCGACCGTGGTCAGAGTCAGGATCCAGGACAGGAAGCCCAACACCAGCCCCAAGAACTGGCAGTGCGCGGTGTGGGCAATGTACTGCATGGCGGAGGAGGAAGGTGGAGGCAGGAGTGGGGAGGCCGAGGGAGTGGGGGAGGTGGGGGTGGAGGAGGTGGGGGTGGAGGAGGTGGGGGGAGGCGGAGGAATGGAGGAGATGGGGGGAGCTACAGGAGCTACACTTGCTCTAGTATCCGCTCACAGCAACCCTCTGTGGCTCCATCTGTGGACAGCAACACAGGAAAAAGTTTCATGACAGAAATGATGACGTTTCTGGAAGAGAAAGAATTATAGTCATTTTAATTCTACAAATACAACCCTTCAGTTGATGCAGAAACAGAACAGTTTTCAACCTGGATTTGAATGTTGTCAGAGAAGAAGCCTGTCTCATATTTTCAGGAAGACTAGTCCTCAGGCTGAAACTTCTCTCACTGAGGGCGCCCCCAGCTGCATGATTAGTGGAGTACAACTAAACCAGGACCTCTCGTAGCCAAAATAAATTAAATAGTGATCACATGTAAATGTATAACTAAGATAAGATAGACCATAACAAACTGGATACAAACATATAAAACACAATAATAAGCTGTTTACAAAGAGTGTGACATCACCTCAGCGTTAGCCTTGATATTATAATAGATCCATGGATAGACGGGGATTTGAACATAAACTAGCCATAAATAAGCCTGGGTGTTGATTAATACCTCTCTGATGCATATACAGATCATAGACTGTATATATTAACAGACGTAGTCACGCCTATCTCCGCCATTCTAACTAATGGGCCAAAAAATGTGCTCTACTGGAGCAATCCAAAATGGCCGCGAGTGGTCCCGCCCGCGAGTATTTTATTCGTAGGTAGGTTCTGCCACAGGGACCGATTTCAGCCAATCAGAAAGCTAGTCTGAAGTGACGTGTTCGACGCGCCGGCAGACGACGGTAAATTACATTACAACCTAAAAATAAACCATTTATTAATTTACATGCGAATTGTACTTACTGTATTACATATACCATGTATATATAATTTACAATAATAATAACAAACAATGTTGAAAGTGTTCATTTTTTGTTTTCATTTAACAAGACACAAACATTTTGTTTCAGATTAAAAGTACATCAACTGTTTACAAAAATAAACAAAAAATACACTAAAATTGACAAGATAACTGTCAAACACAGTGTCAGTTGTTCAAAATCACAACAAACCAGAGCCAAAAGCGTATAAGTTGTTTACAAAAATATACACAAAGTAGACCAAAACCACTACTGCTTGCTATGTGTCTTCCCAAGACTCTGATTTGTGTTGACACATTCAAACTTCTGTTTTGGTGGGAGTAGTCCACATTTCAGATCCACCGTAGCTTTTCTTTTGAAAGCTGCCTTTGTATAGCCATGCTCTACTACAAAGGATCGTTTTGTCGGCCTTCCACTAGTTACACACTTACGACCTCCAAGTGCAGCCTTCTTTCTGCGAGCTACAGCAGTTGGCTGCACACCTATATGCTTTAAACCCGCCAACCGTGATTTGTGTTTACGATTAATGACACTGCCAGCACCAGAATATTTGCCAAATGTATGTAATGCTGAAATAAGTGCAGAGTCTGTTCTCAGGTTTTGTGAACTGACAAGAAAGTCTTTGACTGCAGGTAGAAAAGTTACTGGATCATGTTTTACTTTGTTCATCAACAAGTCTCTGAATGCTCTCAAATTGTCATTCACTTGTTGAACCTCAGAGTCAGAATCAAGGATGTGACTTTCCACTGTGGCATCCCTTGCATGTATGGCTGCTGGTGTAGTGACTGGGGGATTTTCTAGTGGTATAACATCACTCTCAGTACCGAGAGAGTCACCCTGCTGCTCTTCATTCAGGGGGACACTCTGTGTCAATGAGGAAAACCACTCTAATGAGACATTGTCTTTTCCTGTTGCAATTTTGTAGAACACAAGCCTACGTTCAGGTGAATTAACTGGTACCATGTTCAGAGTTTCCACCTTGAACCGCTTCACAACTGCTGCCTGGTGTTTGCAGGGGCCACCGTTCACCCCCACATGGCATGTACATAGCCCCATGTCCACATCAACACAGTAATATTTGTCCTTTTCCCTCTCACTGGGCACACTGTACAACTTCGGGGCAATATGGCTGATACTATCAAAGTTGATGGTCTTGCAATCAGGTAAGTATTTCGAATGTCTTGTCATGTCCATTCTGTTATTGGCCACTCCAATCAGACGCCGTGCATATAAAGACTCCATTCTGGTCATGATAAAGTCCACCAGTTGAAGTGTGTTAAATGCTTTCATCCGAAAGAGGACTTTCTCTTTTAGTACTCTCACAGCAGCCTCACAGTAGTTGTTGGTATGATTCCCTCGAGTAGGCATGTTTTCTCTGTAACAAATGGCCCACAAATTCCTACGGTCATAAGATTTTTTAACATATGCCAAATAGGACGGATAGGCACAAGCCAGTTCATCAGTCAGTATGGCCTGAAACTTGGACTCCAGTGAGGCTTTCGTGTCTGCATACATCATATATTTTATATGTGAAAACAACTGCTGCCTATGTTTCAGTGGTACCTGGCTTTTAGCATCCCAGAGCCATCGCCAGGCTGCTTGTAGAACATGGAAAACACACAAAAGCAAACTTGACTCTGGAAAAGCCTCCTGAAGAGCACCTCGTTCAGCATCACTGTCATCAGTCATAAAAACTTGTGGGCCCAAGCAACCTCTCCCATAAAAAGCGCCATCAGACAGAAAAGACTTGTACAAGTCCAGAGCCGCTTTGATGGTGTTTTGGGATTCGGTTGTTGTGATTAGACAACCAATTGGAAGACCACCACAACAACTATGAGTCATCAATAAAAACACACGAAGATTATGACGATCCATATTTCCAGAAGAGTCCATAAAAATCATTTCACCGCTCTGCTCTACCATTTGAAGGACTCTTTTCATTAACGGTGTGCACATTGCGACGATCAACTGGTTGTCACTTGTAACATTCATCTTTATCACAGTCTCCCCATGCTCCAAATTGAGGCGCTCAATTAACGATTCCAAGTTCTTCAACATGTTCACATCGCAACCACCATATGCTTTTTGAGCAGTTGAGTAGTAAAGCCTGCAATTAGACAAGCGTTCATTGAAATTTACATTGTTCAGTGTTAAATACATGTGGGCTGAATTATTTCCTTTAATCACTGTCTTACCTATAACACCATTGAAGGTCTGGTATTTTAGCTCTGTCAGCACTGTTGAAAACAAAGTCATCTTGATCTTCGGTCTGCATATCATACTTGTGAATCTCAAGTGCTGATGAAGGAGTATGGCCTGCTTCGAACAACTTCAAAAATGTCTCTTTCACTTCATCAGAAACATCCCGGTGTTTCAGGGCATCAGCACAGTTGATCGGATGATTGTGAATATATCGCATATTCACAATCATTGGGAATTCTGGTAGATGAGCATTAGTTGACCTGACCATTTGAAAATAAAATGTTAATACCAAAACATTTATAATTGTCAATTATAAAACTGCACAAGTTATGTTCAAGGTATCAAAACAATCTCTTCCAGCAAATATCCAAAATCTTTTTTGTGATAGAGACACTCAGCTCCAAGTGAGTTTGAGAAGAGTCCATAGATTACATCAACCACGAGTCAGAACAACACTTAAGTCTATGTGTATTTCTGTGAGAGGAGTGAGTTTGTGGAATGGACTCACTGAGGACCTGAAAAACTGTTTAAATTTGACACAGTTCAAACAATTTTTAAAAAGTTTTGAGATGGAAAAGTACCTGGAGGAGAGAACATGATAACTTTATGTAATTGTGATAGTAGGAGAGGGGTGTGGGGTTGGAGAGTGTTGGGCCTGTGTGTTTGTGTGTTGTGTTGAATGTTCAATTGTTGTAATCATTCGTGAAAATGACTTGTCTGCAAGTAGAGTGTGTGGGGGGGTTTATATAAGCGTAAGCTTCCATCATTCCCCTTTCAAACCACGCAGACTTTGTATTTCTGTTTTCCTGTATGTATACACCTGCAGGTTGGAAATAAATACCTATCTAATCTAATCTAATTGAACAAAATGTCCAAATACTATATATGTAGCTGAAATGGGTTTTTAATATAATCTGATATAAACGACCAATTAATTATTAAAATAATAATTCATTACAGCCCTGCAGTCAGTTACCTTTGTCTCTTCAGTCCTGTACGTTGTATTGTGATTGACATGGTGGCATTGCACTTTGTGTCTTTATGTGATGAATGAGTATCACATAAAAATGAGAAATAAAAAAAATAAAAAAAAATAATAACAATTGTAAACCGCTTTGTGACTCTGGTCTGTGAAAGGCGGTATATAAATAAAGATTACTTACTTACTTACTTACTTACTTACTTTACTTATTCCCAGATTTTTTAGCAAATGAACGTGTATTATGTTGACAGCGTAGGTCTTCCTAAAGCATAAAAACAAAATATTTAAAACTTTAAGGCACTAAAAAATTAACAAAGTCATTCTGTAGAGATGAAAAAGAAGAATGAATTGTGAATACTGAATGAATAGAATAGCCAATTCCAAACTTATTCTTTCCATACTCACCCATATGTAATGATATGTAATGTTGTTTTCTAATCATTTATACTTATTTGTAGGACTAATGAACAAAGCCAACTTGATCCCACGTGTCATGCATTCTTGAAATATCCTTAACATTTATCAGAATGTGCAATAACCACATGTCAGTCACTTTACTGTGTCCCAGAGCCTCGTGTCTCAGATGCTAACATATAACTTCACTTTGCTTGCACTAGAATACACAGTACTTTATACTTGCCTCTTAGCCAAATGTAAAACTTTTACACTTCTTGTTATTTTCAAGATTGAGATGTTATCCTTGATTTGTGCTGTGTGCTCCTTTTCCCTACTGTTCAATAACTTGATGATGCAACACTGAAATTTCCCCACTGTGGGACGAATAAAGGATCTCTATATCTGAATTACTGGTATAATCATGATAATAAAGTGCTACAACTACTTACTC